GAGGGGGGGAGGAGGGGGGGCAGCTGCCCCCACTAGACAATCATTCAACAATCTGTTTACAAAGGTGTACTGTTTTTAGCCAACTCAGTTCATGCAAAAAAGCTCACCCTCCTTGTCCTCAGAAGAAGAAACGTTATTCCTGATCCTGAGACAATCTACGAAATGAAGTCCAATTGGCGTGTTGTGTTGAAAAAATGACTGTACTTATGGCAAAATGAACCCACAATTTCTGACTTCTGATTGATCAATAAATAACAGTTAAAATGCACCAGAATGCAGTATTATACATACAGTTTTTAAAAAATGTCCACACCGTGGGAGGGGGAAACCCGCTCCCACACCACACCCCTTCCCCCCGCTTACTGCCCCCCCTGGCATTTTGCTCAGGCTACGGCCCTGCTAATGCTCCATATTCCCGCATGATATTATGTATTATCATTATTGTTGTACTCTGTAAATCATTTGTAATATACGAGTATTGAGGCCGAGCCTGGTGAGGTGTAATGACCACAGCCAGCTGGAATCCTGCGGGAATAAGACTGTTCCCATACTTAGATCGATCTAACAGGATCGATCCAGCTTCAAGGGGTTTCTCGTTAAATTGCTTTAAGCTGAAGCGGCTTAGATGTCTGGCACACCTACTGAAGCTGCTAAACGATAATTAATTACCCCCTAGCAGCTTCAGTAGGTGTGGCAGATATCTTAGCCGCTTAAGCTTAAAGCAATTTAGCGAGAATCCCATTGGAGATAGATCGATCCACGGTTAGTACAATACGGTCTGGGAATAGTCCCTTAGGCTTGGTCACATCTTGATCACATTCAGGAATTTGACGCCTTTCTTTATCTATCCTCGGACACGAAACTCTTGTCCGAGGCTACCAATAGAGCCGTAAATGAGATTTACAAGCTGATATCTTTGGCTTTTTTTGTGGGAAATATGTCTTTTATTTTAATTCCAGTGTTATGGTTTCTAAGCCATTATTCATAAACTCATTTCAGTACTACAGCGGGTGCTGTTATGGTGCGGATTGGTGCACATGATTTATTAGACCCAAATGAACCTGGTGCAGTTTCACAATATTTGGACTCCATCCATGTGCATGCGCAATATGACGATTCAACTAAGAACAACGACATTGCTTTGCTTAAATTGGCAAACCCTGTTGATCTGACTGACCAAATTACGTTGATCTGTTTGCCTATGTACGAGGGTGAAGAGCTATTGGATGGCCACCACTGCAATGCCACTGGCTGGGGCGTGACGTCATTTGGTAGGCGTTTCAAAAAATCAATTATTTTTAAATATGCAAAAAGAAAAATGTATTACTTGCATTAGAGCACAGGTCACTTAAATAAACAAACAAACATATTTTTAAATATGCAAGAACTTATAGGCATTTTTTTAAAAATTTTACGTTTAATCGGCTCTACTTCTGGCAGTTGTTTTTTATTTACTAGGTGGCAGCGTTAGCAGTGTTCTAATGCAAGTCGGCACACCATACATTGGGACGGAGACGTGTCGTAGTGCGACCAGTTACTCAACAGAAGATATAACGGATAAAATGATCTGCGCTGGTGCACCGGGGAAAGATTCATGTCAGGTATAGCACGGGTATTCCCTATTGTCCCTGTATTTCAATTAACTGCTTATCCCAGGCTTCTAGTGAGCGTAGTACAAGTGTGTGTGTGTGTGTGTGTGTGTGTCCATTCAAAATGAAAATTAACGACGCGAGAGAGGGTTATCTTACCCCCCCCCCCTCGATTCTTGCCCTTATGATCGTTGTAATTGAAAAAAGTGGGTGAGGACAAACCTTCTACCCTGCGGTGGCCCACAAGTGCACTCCAAATTCCAAACGACACTCCCAATTCTAAACCTCACTCCGAATATTTAAACTTCACTCTCAATTCTTAAACCTCACTCCGAATATTTAAACTTCACTCTCAATTCNGTGGGCCACCGCACTACCCCCAGCTTGTACGCCTAGGTATTCCAAAAGTTTAATTTGCTCTTTTAATGTGATGTTCAGAAAGCCGATAAAAAGGACTACTTCAATCACGACTTCTGACGTAGTTAAGAACTAACAGGAACACCGCCATTTAGGCTGATTATTAGATAAAAGGACTCAATCTAAATCTTGGCGGCTGAAATACTTCAAAACAGAAACAATAATTTCAACTCAATATTTATATTTTTATACACAAACATTGTAGGTGTTGTCTGATCACTGTGTCTGTCTGTGTCGTTCCCGTCGCCGTCCGAAATAAAACACCATACCAAATAAATATCAAACCATTTTTACTTTTAGATTACCTGAGTAGCTTTGTTTGGTTAAAAAGGTTCTTGTGAAAATCAGCATGAACGTTATATTTTTTTACAAAAGTTATTTTTTATTAACTTATTTTATTATAATAATAATAATTATTATTATTATTATTTATTATTTTTTTGCATGTATTTTATCCTTCAAATGTGATGAGTTGCTTTGTATATTGATAAGGCAGGTTCTTTTCGATAATCAGCATGATCGGAGTATTTCTACATGGTCTTTTGCAATTATTGTTGCAGTGTAATTATTATTATTATTATTATTATTATTATTATTATTATTATTATTATTATTATTATACGCGTATATCATGGGCTGTGTATATTTTCAGGGGGACTCGGGTGGACCGCTAGTATGCAGATTTCCCATCGCTGGAGCCGAGGAAGAGGAACACTATGTGCGGTGGAAACAAATGGGTGTCACTAGCTGGGGTGTCGGATGTGCAGAACCTGGCTACCCAGGCGTCTACGCCAAAACCTCGGTCTTCGTCAGTTGGATTCAACAAATAATAAATGGAAACTGATGCAACTCGAAAAAAAGTTTATTGATAAATCATGAAAATATTAGAGAGTTTAACTCTAACTTATTAGGGCCTCTTTTGGTAGTTTTGAATGAATACTATGAACGTGGTTTATCTTTATGGGTTAAATAAAAGTATACTGCAACTGTGAAAATGTTATAATCAGCGTAATTATCATTGTCTATTTTGAGATAGGCCTAATAAAAATATTATCTGTTTAACGTTTCGTTAAAAATAATCCTTGGATACTTTTACTAGTCGTTGTGTCTTTACAACTTCTTGACGTGGGATTCATGAAAAGAACAAGGATGGTACAGCGCCGATGGAATGGGCCAAATATTGTTAAAAACGGACCATGGCATCAACTCGTACAGTTACACCGGATGAATCGCGTGTCTTAAAACATTTTTTTATGTTTTGAGTTTAAAGCAGTCGTGTCGGAATAGTTACATGTGCCACAGGGATAATGGGTCCAGGGTCAAAGCTACTTTGATGTAATGAGGCAGAGTTTATCAAGCCATAGGGAGACAGAAAACCAGGAAGAAACCTAACTTATTTAAATTTGAATGAGCTTTTTACTTTTTTCTAATTTTATTTATTTATTTATTTATTTATTTATTTATTTATTCTAAAGGTTTTCCTTTCTCTAATTATCCTTGTTTTATTTTATTATTATTATTTTGGGGTGGTGATGATTGGGTATGCCATTTGGCTTTTGACTTAATTCTGGTTTGGATATTACTCAAATATCGTCATCACGTACACTTCAACTGCATGGAAATGAAAAACATGATCAATCATGTTATATCGATGGCCAGTTTTGGCTATTGCAAAAATAAAAACTACACCTCACCGATGTTGACTAAGATTACCGGAAGTATATTCGGGTGTGAAGCTGTAGCCTGCAGAGTGCTTGCAGTGAGAGAATGCACTGTCCTGGTCGTGAAAGTTTTTAGAAAATGCAAGTCTGAAAATCTCGTGCACATTGCAGATTCGTATTTATGGCAGTTTGGTAAAAACGCAATGTAAACAAATTATGAAAATTTGTTGCTACATTGTATATGTTAATCATGAATCAATGATAGTCAACCTCGGACAGTTTATATGGCGGACAGTTGGAGTATAGGCCACAAAGACTGTCAATTTATTAGTTACGTCATACATAACCAGTTGAAAAATCCACGCACAAACAGACACTCACTGACATGCAAGCCATAGAGAAAGCAAAAGTGCGCAAGAACTACACGCTCCTGGTGGAGGACCTCCAGGTACAGTACTATGTAGCAGACTTCCTGTACCAGCAAGGGGTTCTCTCTTTTGATGACAAGGAGAGAATCTTGGCTCAAGTGACATCACAGGATAAAACAAAGATGCTTCTGGATATGATCCTCAAAACTGACAGGTACATGTTGTATGCAAAGAGTGGAGGTAAAGGTTTTAGTGCTTTAAATTTAGGTTTGTCTGGCAGATTTATCTTGCTTTGCTAGTTGGGCCCCACAAGAAGGTTTTGATTTTTTAGGCCTAGATCTACACAGCTGTGATGTTGATTATTGTTGCATATTGTGTCTCCCACACAATATAAAAGTTGCCAGATTAAACCATGATGTTTTATTATATCTGTGTCATATCTGATATAAACTAACACAAGATTAAACATAGACAATTTACTGATGCAACATACTCTTCAGATGGTTTTTTATATAAACCCATCAGATTAATGCAGGGGCGTAACCAGACCTTTCAAAATTGTACGCACAGATTTTGAAAATTCCCAGGTACAATTATATTCCGTGAAAAATACACTGAATTTATGGAGAATAATATCATGGTTGGCTCAAAAAATTGTATGCACAGTGCATCCGTGCGTATGCCTGGTTACGCCCCTGTAATGCATTCAATATACTGGCCCTAAGGTAGGTTCTAGTATTTGGGGGGAGGGGCACTAATGACCTCCCATTTTAGCAAGGAAAATTTTAGCTCTAAATAAAAATTTGATATCAGTTCTAATGCAATAAAAGTAAAAAAAGATCACTTTTACAGAAAAATACCCTCCTTTTTACACTAAATATTTTCCTTCTTGCCTTTCCTTTAAGCTTAAAACTGAAACAACATTAATTCCATGTGTTTGAAGTATGAACTAGTCTATTTTAAATGCATTTCAGACCTGACAGCTATGCCCAGTTCCTGAAGTCACTGGAGGAAGAATATGGTTACCTGCAAGATGAGATCAGTAACACCACAGTGACAGAGGAAGAGATACGGATCTTCCAAGGTAAGGGGAGACTGTAATGAGCATGTGTCCCTTTAAGACATTATATGCCTCACCTATGATTTTTCCTGCCTTCTAAATAATTTTAAATACTCTAGACAGGTAATATTGCACGAAAACCAAATTGCATTATAAACCATTTTTTAATCCAGACCTTAATTCCATCTACTCATTTCTGTGTAAATGGCATCTTGTTAAAGATTGTGGCTGTTGAGAAAAGCACAATCACAGTGTTGGGTAAGGACCTTTTCATATCTTGACTGGAAAGGGACTAAAAGATGTCACCAGACCACCAGTGGTCAGTTTCATTGAGCCTTCTTCATTAATTCTTTTGGGATAAGCAAGCTTGAAAGCACCGGTAGATGTGACAAAAATCTTTTTAATGAAATCCATCCTTTACTCATCAGTGAAAAAAAAAAGATAAAAATGAATCGATTCAGGTAAATCTCTTTGGTGTTTTTGTTCTTTCTCCTTAAAATTTCGAAAGGTTTAATAGCAAAAATGTAAGTATTCAAAGAAGAAAGTATAAGCAAAAATGTTATTTTTAAATTTGATTCATATAATTTCCATCAGGGAAAGAAGATTAAATTTATAAGAAGGAAAATAATTATTTTTGACAAAAGCTAAATGTATCTTGCTCCCTTTTATTAAAAGGTAATTAGATTCATTACACAAATGCTATCTTTGTTAGTTTTGGGTTTCGTGTTATTGTTGGTCTTTTCATGATTCAGTATCTGTCCCTTATAAGTGCAATTATAGCTAAGAATATTTGAGTATATGGAGGTTGTTGTACTATCACATAACTTTACACACAGTTGCTTAAGAGACAAATTCCAAAGTGCTAACCCACCTCATCCACATACCTGGGTGGTCAGAGACATAATGATTTATTGCTACTTACATTAGTATCATGTAGACTCAAGTAAAGAAGGGAACAATTAGTTCAATTTATGGGGCTTTCTTTTATTTGCAATTGTGTTAAATTTTCTTTTAGGCAATAAAAAACAAGTTATAAGTAACATTGCAAAATAAATACAAAATAATCTTAACATTCAAAATAAATTGATTCTAAAAAGACTAAATGTGTTTTTTACCTTTTAACATTATGTCCATGATTTGATGAAGGGTCAAAACTTAATGCTACTTAAGAAAACAATTAATACATTCAGAGATGTTTTTCTTTTTATCAGTGTTTCCCCTGCACTTAAATGAGCAAGGCGCCCGCCTTGCTGGTATTTGCAAGCGCCTCGCTGAAATTTGTCAAAAGCACCGCCTCGCTGGGCTATATGGAACAACAAAGTATATTTTCACTCATGCTAACTGAAAATTATATTTATTTCTAAGCAAATATGGCATTTTCTGTTTACATATGTAATCCCATGCTTCTGAGCACTTGATTTAGTAGTAACGGAAATACGCATGCGCGTATGCCTAAAAATAACCAGCAGTTACTATCTCCCTGTGAGTGCCTCGTTTTCGCAGTTCTGTGCCTAATTTGAAGTATAAGAGACAGAGCGAAACGAGGCAACTGTTCTTGACACCTTTTAATCACGTGTCAAGAATACACTTTCTCTATCACTTCATGTTCCGAAATTCAGACCGCCTGTTGTTTGTTTTTATAGTTTACGAATATGCACTGATAAAAAAGGAGCAAATAAAGTGGACTTCGTTGACTTTATAAACTTGGAGAAGATTTTCTATTGATTTACGGGTGAGTTTTGTGAAAGCAGTAGCATTGTAAACTGGGTCACGTCAGTATTTCGCGTGGAAACCTATGCATTGAATTTGAATTTCCATGACTGAATAGAACCATATAAATGAATAAACGAAGAACTTAAATTGATGATAAGTGTGATTTTCATCTCTTTAATTCCGAAGAGTTCATTTAACGGTGTTTGAAGTTGTTGATTATAAAGTACATCTCAAACTACGTATAACTAGAAGCGGGAGTCGCTTTGCGCTGAACGACAAGAGAGAACTTTTTGCGGCAGTTTTATACGCTCCCACACGCAAAGTCAATTGACCAGTTACTTTCACAAGAATGTGAAAACGGTAAAAACAACATATTTTATCAACTTTTTGGTCAATTTAAAAATAATTCAATGTAGTATGCCCTTTATCTTGTTTCTTGTAAGTATTATAGTTAACTTTTTTTTTTTTTATTTGAAAGTATTAACTTTTTTTTTTGAAAGAGTTTGTTCTATAAACTGAAAAGGACTAAACTGAGTGAATGCACAGACTGGAAAATAAATTTTGTCCAAACCTTTGTTATGTAATTACTGAATTTACTCCTCAAAACATCTAAAACAAGACAATTCAGTGCCACATAAAATGTAAAAAAAATCAGTTCTAAATACCCTAAAATGCACCAAATTGCACCTCAATATAAAAAAATTCCGGGGGGGCATGCCCCCGGACCCCCCTAGTATTGCTGGGATCGCGGACTGCCTACCACCTCACAGAGCTTGAAAGCCAGGGAAACACTGCTTTTTATCACAAAATTACAAGGGACAGTGGAAAATATATAACGCCATCTCCTGATATAAAACAGGTGGTTGATACACTAGGTAAAATGTCTTATTTGCATTAATATGTGTCATCGCAATAATGTTTGGATATGTTTCTCCAAGCTAGTCACAAAATTTTTATTGAGTACCACTCCTATCTTAGTTGAACATTTTACCTGCATCTGTATGAAGATGTGGCAGTGAGCAGTGTTTAACAATGCTTTTATCATACTGCTATAAAATTTATAGTAGCTTAGACTTTTAGAGAGCATAAGTCTTGTTTCTAGTGAAGTGAAGTTGATTCAGCTGAGTATGAACCATCTTTGCAGGCCATTGTGATTAGCTATCTGTCCAACAGTATGCAATTAAATCATACTTACAGTGGCTGGGTTTGATTTTCTGTCTAGGGTGAGCTAATCTTAACATTGCTAATCTAACTGTTGTCTGAGAGGGGTTGCACTAGAGATAGGTCGCCCAGACTTGGCTAGAAACACAATTTGTGTCAAGATTTATCAGCACTTCCAACTTTGCACTTACATAAGGATGGATTAGTAGTTTAATAGTTGTAAGGAAGTATGTACCAGATGTCAGGTGATTTTATGATACTGGAATTTATCATAAACCATCATAAATTGTCGTGTGTTATCATTAGAGAAGTTTGGGTTTGTTTTACCTTTATTGCTTTGAAATCTGTTAAAAATGTGGTATAATTTATAAAAGGAAATGTAAAAGAATTTCAAGAATGTTTCATTTTGATATCAACTCCTTAAACTTAAAGTCTGTATAAAATTATCTTAAGCATGCATTTTACTGACAAATAAATTAATAATAAAAATACCTACCTCTTATCAAGGAACCACCTAAAAGTTAAACAAAACTTAATATTCACTTGACTATATGCATATGTGAATTAGAAGTGAAAAAGACCCACCCAGATTACATCTAACTAAGATAGATTGCATTCAGAATTTGGACTAGCTGATCCGAGGATCAAATATGGCCGACCCACTTAAAACAATACCAACTAATGCTCTGATGGTGTCTTGGTCTCCATGTTTGCCGTCACTGCAGGGGCCTAGCAGTTATTTAATCTATTTTATGATGCATGTGGAGGGGGGAGAACATCAGGGAATTAAGCGGCTTCCTTTTAAGCAGGATCACCATATTTAGTCAGTGGATCAGTTAGGCTGCAGATTATATGTTCTGAATGCACTCATAGATAAATGCATGTTTAATATCTATTGTGCAATAGATGATAAAAGCATGAAACTTTCCACGATGAATGACCATTGGGTGTTCGTCTATTTTGGATCAGGGGGTTGACAAACACCCAATGGTCATTCATCGTGGAAAATTTCATGCTTTTATCATCTTTTGCACAATTCTGGATAAAATTTGGACTTAACCGCCTGACTACTTTTCACCATGAACTAAACTTTGCATATTTTGCTTCCCTTTTATCTCCAAAACTGGCAGAGATAGGTCCATAGTTACTATTGAACTTGAATGGGAAGTCATATACTGGCAATCTAAATGTGACCTTGAAATTGACCTTTGACCTACTTTTCACCATGAACTGAACTTTGCAAATTTTGCTTCCCTTTTATCTCCAAAACTGGCAGAGATAGGTCCATAGTTACTATTGAAGTTGAATAGGAAGTCATATACTGGCAATCTTACTGTGACCTTGAAATTGACCTTTGACCTACTTTTCACCATGAACTGAACTTTGCAAATTTTGCTTCCCTTTTATCTCCAAAACTGGCAGAGATAGGTCCATAGTTACTATTGAAGTTGAATAGGAAGTCATATACTGGCAATCTTACTATGACCTTGAAATTGACCGTTGACCTACTTTTCACCATGAACTGAACTTTGCAAATTTTGCTTCCCTTTTATCTCCCAAACTGGCAGAGATAGGTCCAAAGTTACTATTGAAGTTTAATAGGAAGTCATATACTGGCAATCTTAATGTGACCTTAAAATTGACCTTTGGCCTACTTTTCACCATGAACTGAACTTTGAAAATTTTGCTTCCCTTTCATATCCAAAACTGGCAGAGATAGGTCCATATTTACTATTGAACTAGAATAGGAAGTCATACACTGGCAATCTAAATGTGACCTTGAAATTGACCGTTGACCTACTTTTCACCATGAACTGAACTTTGCAAATTTTGCTTCCCTTTTATCTCCCAAACTGGCAGAGATAGGTCCAAAGTTACTTTTGAAGTTGAATAAGAAGTCATATACTGGCAATCTTACTGTGAAATTGACCTTTCACCTACCTTTTGATGAACTTTTGAAATATTTTTTTTGCATATTTTGAAAATTCTTGTTGATTGCATTTTTACAGCTTGTCAAGCAAAAGACTGGTGGCTGTGTCCCTTATTTTGTGTATGTGGGGATCTATACGAATGCGCTTGCTCCAGCTGGTGGTACAATATTCGGAGGCGGTATCGCCTCTCTGATCCTCTAGTTAAATGTTGAGGTTATCAGAGGGTTAGAACACCCTGTATTGTTACAGTGTTACAGGTGCTATCAATATTCAACATTGCCTTTACTTTTATTGTGTAAGCTTTCTGAAATATTGAGACTGCAATGGTATCAGCAGTAACATTTATTAAAATACTGAGGACAACTTTCAAGATAAGGATATCTCTTCAAAACATTTATTCATGCTTAATTAAATACAATGGAGATAGCATTTTACAAGTACACTTGTAGATCTGTGTCAGTTTTTACTTTAAAAATATTTTACTGGTAGTGGGATGCTTGTTCACTTAAAAACTGTTAAACTTCATACTGCATGTGTGTGCTAGAAAGTACATAGCACATGGCCGAGCAGTTACTGTAACAGAGCTTTTTAGGTGCAGTAAATTCAAGTCAAATGTACCCTTGTCACACTGACTGTTTTGTATGGAGCTCTCACTCTACATATAAAATTACCCATGTTCAATGCTCAAGTGGCTAGATTTAATACCTTTTGAGGGATTTTGAAGTTTTATAAACTTATCATTACAAGCCAGTTGCAAATTAACCCTTTTTTACATAAAATTTATTGGATAATATTGAGAGGGTCCCATTGGGAGGGGGTAGTGATCAAAGTTCATGAGAAATGAAATCTTCAAATCTCAGTAAATAAAACTTTATGCACATCTCATTGAAAACATGAGTTGAAAATCAAATTATATGGATTATATTGAGAGGTTCCCATTGGGAGGGGGTAGTGATCAAAATTCATGAGAAATGAAATCTTCAAATTATAGTAAATAAAACTATGCATATATCTCATTGAAAACGTGAGTTGAAAATCAGATCACCAGGTGTAATCACTTCATTTCATGAAGGACAAGGTATTAAAAGTTACAGTCATGAGTCACAGGAATGGGGTGCTTCTTGGATCACATTAAATAATATGAATGTTCACACATCTCAGGAAATAAAAAGTGGCTTTTTTATGGGTAGCAAAAGTGGGGCAATAAATTTGGGTGAATACAGAATGTGTGAGAACAATATTCATATAGTTACATGTATCACATGTACAGATAGTAACAAACCATACCTTGGTGTTCTTTATAATTTAAAAGTGTTTTGGTACTGTACACACCCATATGCATTACGCCATGGTCATATGTTTTTCTTTTAATCTGTATGTTTGTGTCTGAACTTAAATGATAATGATCAATAGTGGCTACTTGTACTGTTTAATATGATGAAAGTTTGTAACATTTTCTCACTGAAGCCAGCTATTGTGTAACTTGTGATATATGTACACTGGAATATATATATATTAGTTCACATGTAGATCGATCGATAGATAGATAGATAAGTAGGCAGTGTTTTGACACTGATGTTCTCAATCCTGTTTCCAGATCCACCACCTGAAGCAGAGGTGTTAGAAGCAGTGAGGAGGGAATTGCAGTTATTTTACATAAAAACTTTTACCAAGCAGGAGCCACTCCCATGGAATGAAGATTTTGTCATTAGTCTCCCAGACGTGTACACAAGCCTAGAAATATTGGAGAAGGATACATATAAAAGGTATGATAAAACCATAAAATAAGGTAAAATTTTTTAAGGCAAGAATAATGGCAATTATTTAGTTTAATAAAGCAGTTAAAGGGATAATAACTCTTCGTATGAAATCTGTATTTCACAATAAAAACATTGTGAGTGACTCATAAAAATATAATATATTCTGTTTTCCCACAAAAACGGCTGTTATAGCTATTATTCTGATATCTGAGCTTGTCTTTAGACCACGTGACCTCCATTGATGGCTATACTCTGTTATAATCTCTTAAGAGATTTTAACAAAAAACCAAACTTTTTAGAAAAAAAACAGGGACTAACTTTGAATGTAAAAATGGATTCATTAACCATTGGTAAGTATGGGAAAATTGTTGTTTACTCCAGGAAAATTCATTTTTTGGCCGAAACGAAGAGTTATTATCACTTTAAGTTTAAAATTTTATTGTAGGAGAAGTGGGCCAGTTAATGGGTTGGTGAATGGATTTGATAGATACATAACAGAATGTACTATTTTTTTTTATTTCATTCATACCTTTTCGATGCATATGTACAGGTGCATCTTTATATAATGAAAATATTTTAAATATTTCAGTTAACTATTCAATAAGACATTTATGGAAAATAGAAATTCAAAAATATATATTATGCAGCTTCTCTTTATTTCAGACATCTGATGGGTCCTGTGTCACTGCAGGATTTATTTACAACTAGACCTCTGCCTGGCAGCACCTCACCAGCAAGGCACATTTACATAGATGGCGTTGCTGGAAGTGGCAAGACAACCCTCTGCCAAAAGCTTGCATATGATTGGGCCACAGGCAATGAGCAGAATTCTGTTTGTCATTTTAGCTTAGTTTTGAAAATTGAACTTCAGTTTGTTAGAGCTGAAATGCGTTTAGTCGATGCAGTTTTTGATCAGTTGCTTCCAGAAGATTTTAATTTATCAAAGGACGAGGTTATTCACTGTATACATCACAATCAAAGCAGTATGTTATTGATTTTAGATGGTTTGACCGATGCATCTCAATATACTAAACAAAAGGTACTTGATTTTTTAGCAGGAAAGGTTCTAAGGCATATTACTAGCATTGTCACATCAAGACCAACAAAAATTTCAGCAAAGTATTTTGATTTGCGTCTTAGGTGCAAAGGTTTTAATAAGGAAAATGCTAAGAAGTTTATTGCTCAATATTTCAGTGGTAAACAGGAAAAGTGTTACCAGAGCCTCTTAGATGAAGTTGATGAGCATTCTCTTGTGGAAGAACTTGTTCAAAACCCTTTCAATACTTTGTTATTGTGTGCCTTATGGGAAGACAATCAGTGCCGTCTGCCCAGATCCCTAACACAGTTATTTAGTGAGATTGTATTCACTTCTGTCAAAAGATACTGTCACAAGCACAAAGCAGGGTTTTCAGGGAGTGAAATGCCTTGGGAATGTGAACAGATGTTGTCAGAAATTGAAGAACTAGCATTTACAGGTATAACTCAGCACGAGTGTGAATTTTCTCGAGATGACGTGGATGCAAAACTGTCTAACTGTGATGCATACAAACTTGGGTTCCTTGCAAGACAGCCTGCCAAATCTAGGCTGCAGACTACTGCATACTATAGGTTCTCTCATAAGAATGTCCAAGAGTTCTTAGCTGCCCGTCATGCCCTCAGATTATCAGATGAGAAATTACAACATCATTTCCAAGAATTCCTTGTCAATCAGGAAAGTCGTATTCTCTGTATATTCATAGTAGGGGTCCTGAAGGATCATTTAGAACGGCTCGTGCCTTTGTTTGAGATTCTTGCAGAATTCTGCCAAAATTCCTGTAGGGATGATCAGTTGATTGTCACAAAACACCGGTGGTCTAGTTGTGATTCAAGTCTTCAAAAATACCCTTACATCTTCAATAAGACCTTCCGCCCTTTCGCAGTGTGTTTCAACTGCCTTAACGAGGCAGACAATCACCCAGAATGTGTGAGCATCATTGCTCAGGCCATGCCAAAAGATCTGTTTCTTGACATTAAAAGTTTTAAAAATCACTACCTGTGTCATGAAGTGGAAGGGAGTTGCTTTGCAGTACTGGAGAACATTCCTTGTCCTAGGTCAGTCATGGTACTGGAGTTGTCCTATTTCTCGGAGAAGGATCCCAATAAGGCTGCCCAGCAGGTAGTTCATGCTGTCTCTCATATTGCCAAGCACAGTGAAGGGCAGTATGAACTGTTTATTTACTGTGATGGGTTGAACTTCTATGGTTTTGCTTCAATTCCTTTCATACTTGATATTCTTGGGGACTTCTGTGCTAAGGAAGGCAACTGTTCTTTTCTGAAGAAACTCTCATGTATCAATTTTCTCATTCATGGGTGCTCCATCCTTCGTTGCATGACTGATGAGGAGATATGGACTGAGATGAAGCTCCAGACACCAAACACACACTGTCTGCCCCCTATTGTTTTCTACCACAATAAGCTGCCTTGTCCCCATGCTTCAGCCAACCCTGAAGTAGGAGTTCTCAGGGCCAATCCATTGTACCATGGAAATAACAGGAGCAGGGCTGAGGATAGTGATGACAGTGAGATTGTTATCTTGGAAACTGAAGGTTCTATCATTTACCAAGTGTTCAAAAAATTGAATCCTTCTGTTCATGTTGAAATGCACAAAGCAGATATCCCCATAGACTTCTTTTTGGATATGTACTGAATCATTTTATGATAGTCCCACAAATCAAGAAGTTGTAAGTTGTTTACAACTTCTAGCACAAATTCATTTATGTTGGACCGCATATCTGAGTATTTCTTTTGACATTTGGTCATAAAGCACTTTTTATTTTGCACAGCTATTCCCTCATTTAATGAGCCCTCAATGTATATTTATTTTGGAACGTTTATTTGAAGCTTACTTTCATTTTTTTTTTGTTTTTGAAGTCACATGGCATTTGAGTTCAAAGCACCTTATTTTTCACAAATTCTTAATTTTGAATTAATTGTGCCATGTAAGATGTGATATTTTGCCTTAACTTTGAAATATATTAAAGGATAAAGCTATCAAAGGTGAACATGCTTTTCCCTATTGAAAAGAATTTTTGTTTTTATCATGTTCATTCAAGTTAATTTAAGTGCATGATTACAAATGGAATTAATTTATTCATCCTGATTTATGACACATTTACTGATATATATATATATATATATATATATATATATATATATATATATATATATATATATATGTTCATGGTTTTTCCTGTACATAATGAATGTATGAAGGTTATGACTTAAAATGGAGTTGATTTTCAATAAGGAAGTGCTTCTTGTATCTTGAAATGTTTTTTATGTCAGTAGAGCAGATAACACAGATGATGAAGTATTATCCACAAAGTTTTTTTTTATCATTTTAGTGATAGGTTTAAGTGATAAGGAAATCGATATAAAACATTTTTTGAAAAGTGTTATTCAGAGATGAGATATTTTGAACTAATTTCATGTTAAGAATAATAGACACTACAGTGTGTGTTTCTTTGCTTTTCATTTGATGATTGGTCAGAAAAATGGTGCTTTAGTTTTCTGTGTATAAAAAGAATCTCTTTTTGTTTTTTACTTAATCTCATTGTGGGTGAATGTTTTTTGTTTTCTTTACGTATCACACCTCATGCCCGGTTGACTTTCTTATAAAAAATAATGCATTGTCAATTTTGAACAATCTGATGGTTATATGAAACAATAAAGTCCAATTTTCAATAAAATTTGTAACAAAACTGTTATACTCATTTTGCGTTTTGTTTAAAGTATTGTTGGGGGGGGGGGGGGGGTCAAAACTAACCGCCTTTTTGGTCGGGGAACGGTTCTCTCTGGGTCCACAAAGGTTCCATGGTATAGGGTCCACTCTCCAACTAGAGAGCAACCCGTAAACGCAGACCTCCGCAAAGGCAAAATGTAAATGAAACAATTCGTCAAAATTAAATATATTAGGGTACCTGGATATAGTAGAAATGGAAATGTTTTTTTCCCTTTAAAACCTGTCTGTTATGAAATTTTCAATAAAATTTGTTAAATCTCCTGTGATATCTTGTCTTCGCACTACTCAACCCCCCTTATCCGTTGGTACAGGTAATTTACATCTTTTTCGTATGTTCATAAGTAAAATTATCCTACCCGTTTAGAGCGACCTCATAGCCAAAAGTGAACTCGGTTAAAAATCAAAGTTTTATTATCACTCCATGTTCTGAATTTAGTTTGATAATGACTATTTACCAGGGACTGATTGTCCTCCTGACCCCCGGGGTCCTGTGTAGTTTGTTTTAAATATTGTTTGCACTTCTCATCACTAGGCGTGTATCAGTGTGTATCCGGTATATGGTAGCCTGGAGTCAAATTAATCAAAAAGGAATGTTGCAATAAAATGGCCTGTATGGTTTCACGAAGCAAATTCTCTAGAATATCCAAACACAGGTGCGTCTAAACGGGCGCTGAATGTTCCTAAATATATAAGGTCACCTTAATACGTGTATAGTTATACAGACAAAGCTTACCCGATAAAGTTGGCGTTTATGAAGTTTACCTATGACAGACAAAATGAGGCAATCCTGTAGGTGCCACGTATAAACAGAGATAACGGTGAGGGTTTACAAACAGATACTCCCAAACTATTGAGAAACATGAAGAATTACAGGGTCACCCAAATACCTATGGCAGGCCCGTAGCCAGCAATTTCAAAGGGGGTTCTTTTTCTTAAAAAGTGGACCTTTTACCATATAATTCCCATGTAACTAGGTCAAATTTCACATAGAGTGGACCTTTTTCCAGCGAAAAGGGGGGGTTCTTTCGAACCCCCCGAACCCCCCCTGGCTACGGGCCTGCAC